TGTGTGTGTGTGTGTGTGTGTGTGTGTGTGTGTGTGTCATCCTGGATTATGACCAATACCTACTAGCATTTTATGGAGAGAAAAAGATGTGCTTCTGTTGAGATTGCAGCAGGTGGTCCTTGTGACTCAGTGTGGGTGGTTTTATATGGAGTGAATGTGGGTGGCTTTTCTACATATTCCTTGGAGGAAAGGCAAAAATTCTAGGTGGAGGAGGGGGAATAGCTCCTGGGCTTGATTTATAATCTATTTATTTGCTTTCTTAGCTAACAGATGAGCTTGCTCCTCCCAAACCACCACTGCCTGAGGGTGAGGTCCCTCCACCCAGGCCCCCACCTCCAGAGGAAAAGGATGAAGAGTTCCCTGAGCAGAAAGCCGGGGAGGTGATTAACCAGCCAATGATGATGGCTGCCAGGCAGCTCCATGATGAAGCTCGCAAATGGTCCAGCAAGGTAAGTATTGAGGCTTCTCATTTTGAGAAAGGATGTCTTCTCAGAAAGATGTAGAACCTTGTACACAGCTCGGGAAGAAGAGTCTATACAGACTCCATCACTTTTCTTTGGTTCTTGTGTTGCTAGTAGCAGATTTCTCTTCCTACCTGTGATTAACTATTAATCTGGTGATTAATAGTTGTTTCTCCTTCGTGTAGCAACAGTGAAAGCTGGGATGCCTGTGTTTAGAGAAGAAAGTTCCTTTCCTCTATTTTCTTTTGGATTTTTGAGTGCTTTAGATTATTCCTTTGCTAATTGTCTGAATTTCAAATATGAAACTGTCTTTTGTGGGTTAAGCTATAGCTAGATGGAATTTTTGCATTTTCCTTCTATTTTTTCATTAAGAAGCCAGAAGACTGGTATCTTAGAAGCCATGTAGCTGTCCCTTTCCAGAATCATTCTACTTCTTAAAAGCTGCAAGTTAACACAGCTAATTTGAAAGTGTGATTCTTAATGTAGAGTGTAAATTTAGATGTTGTAGCAGTTATGCCCCATTGGTAACTTTGGCCTATTTTCCCCTAAGTAATAAAAATTAAGTGGTAGCTTGTCTGCTAAGAGCAAAATCTTGTTGCTTACCTTGCAGTGAAATGTAGGTCTCAGTTCTAAATTGGTTCTGCTTCAACCCTGGGTCTTCATTCCTGCCATCTATTTGCTTTTATTTATTTACATCAATACCTCTACGCTCTTGCACTGAATGTAGTTCCCCAGGAATTTCCCATAATCTTGGATCTTTTTCAGGCTGGGAAATTTACCTGTGCTTTTCTAAACAGATTCTAAGGAGGAACAGGGACATTGCTGGTGTTGGACCTGACCTATGGAAGTATTTACAATGGTATTTTTCAACTAGGGTGTGCATATTCTTGGCAGAGTCCTACTGTCCATGAAGAGTCAGGAGGGTTGGTTTTACTCACAGAAAATTTAAGTTTCATTATAATAGTTAAGTTTCATTATAATAACACAAATATTGTGCAGAACACAAAATATACGTGAATAATAAAGATAAAACTTAAAAGGAACAGACAGCATTAGCCTGTGTATTTGTGTCATTCTGTCCTGTGTGGCCAGTCTTTAGAGCTGATTGTCTCCTGAGGTTTAGAGAATCAGAGATATGCTGACTTTAGGTTATATGAAGCCAGAAACAACTTGTATTATATGTGATGGGGGAAGGAAAATGTGTTTACTTGTGCCATTTCACTTTGTATGCCTTGTCATCCAAAAAGACTAGCATCTATCAGCTAGTCTTTTCTGTTAGGCATGGAGATGAGACAGTTTTAGGAAAAAGATTTAGATGGTAGCTATACCCTTGTTGGTCCTGAATTCTCCATCTTCATTGCCACCTCTGAAAGTCAAGTTTTGTGTTAAGGGTAAGACCATTCCCCTCTCACCTCTTTTTTTCCATCCTTTTTTTTTTTTTTTTGAGACAAGGTTTTACTATGTAGTCCAGGGTAGCCTTGAATATATAATCTTCCTGCTTTAAACTCCAACAGGCTGAGATTATAGGTGAACCTGACCATACGTGGCAGGATCAGACTTTTAGGAGGGATAGCAATCTCAAATAAAATTTCACAAAACTCCTTTTTTTTTTTTTGGTCAGTCCTGGGACCTGAACTCTCGGCCTGGGTGCTGTCCCTCAGCTCTTCAGTCAAGGCTAGCGTTCTACCACTTAAGCCACAGTGCCAGTTCTGGCTTTTTCTGCTTATGTGGTGCTGAGGAATTGAATCCCAGGTCTCATGCATGCAAGGCAAGACAAGCACTCTATCACTGAGCCACCTTCCAGCCCCTACATTTTTTGGTTACAGATGTTTGATATAAAAAAAATCTGTATTCACTATACTTCATATAAAGGGTTGGTCTTATTGAAGCAATTCTTTTTCAGCATCTTATCTCTGTATGTCCCCTTTCTGTCTGGCTTTTTTTAAAAAATAAATATAATTATCTCCTTTGGTACAAAATTCATTCTTTTTGGGGGGGGGGTCAGTCATGGGGCTGGAACTCTGGGCCTGGGCGCTGTCCCTCAGCTCTTCAGCTCAGGTGAGCACTCTACCACTTCAGCTACAGTGCCACTTCTGGTTTTCTGGTGGTTAACTGGAGATAGAGTCTCATGGACGTTCCTGCCTGGGCTGGCTTTGAACTGCAATCCTTGGATCTCAGCCTCCTGAGTAGCTAGGATTACAAATGTGAGCCACTGGTGCCCAGCTCTTTCTATTCTTTTATGAACCCATTTTGCACTTCTATGAAGAGGTCCCTTTGAGCTCAGTCTCAGTTGCAAGGTCTAAGTATTTTCCCATCTTTGAACTAGTAAGTCAAGGGTTAGTGTGAATCTATTTTGCAACAGTAGATTTAGGTTGTATTCAGACATTTTCAGAGAGTTTGTTCTATCAACAGAATAATAAAACACTGGGAACTTTGCCTCTCAAGACTTCAAGGGGGAGAAAGCTGGTTTGAGATGTCCGTTTTCACTGTGGTTAGAGCTGGATTACTTGATAAATTTTACCTCTGCCCCATTATTTCCCTGCTTCTTTCCAGGTTTGGTATTTGTTATCATCAATGTAGTTTTAAAGCAAGGATTTTTAACTTCTGAAGGAAATAATTTGTATTTGGAAGCTATCTGAAGCTGTCCAGGGATGATTAGGACAGTGACCATATGGTCCAGCAGGGTGTTCGCTTTTTCTGTTTAAAGCAACTTGTGTGGCTGCATTTGTTTTTTTCTTACTTTCTGGATTCCTTTAAAAAGCAATGAACTATGGTTTGGTTGGCTGGTTCCTCTGATGTTAGAATTATTCTTGTCAAATTTAGTTAGTGTATAGCATGTGCTTTCTAGGTATAAATATGTATGTGGAACTTTTTCCATTGGAGCAAGTCCTTTTTTTTCCTTCTGAGCTGAGTGGTGCTGGGGGTTGAGTTCCTCCTTCTGTGGACCTTCTGTGGTTCATTTGGCTATTGGAGTATACCATCTATCTATCTATATATATAATTTTTTTTTCTCCAGTCCTAGGCAGGCTTTGGTTACTAAGCCAGCTGAAGTTCAGTTTCCCAAGTCCTACTGTTCTTACTAACACTGTCCCTGTTTCTCGTCCTTTTTACCATCGACAAAGCCGGGTGTCCCAGCCACTAAGGTGGGTATAGGAGTTGTAGCTGAGGCAGATGTGGCTGATGCTGTTGGGTTCCCTGTCCCCTCTGACATGGAAGATGATTACGAACCTGAGCTGCTGTTAATGCCATCTAATCAGCCAGTCAACCAGCCCATTCTGGCCGCGGCTCAGTCCTTGCATCGGGAAGCTACCAAGTGGTCTAGTAAGGTACTGACTGGCAGCCCCAGTTGGGGGCTGCTCCCAATGCATCCGGCCATGTGCAGCCTTGACACCTTGCATCACTCATGTCTGTGCGGGTCCTGTGAGTCTGAGCAGGGCGGGCATCTGTCTGTCTGCACCATGTTATTAGGACTGGCTTCACAAGTTTCATAGGTCTGCTAGTGCCCGATTATTTGGACTGCGTTTATGTTTGGGGGACAAAGAGAAATTGGGCCACTGTTTAAAATGATTCCTTATCAAATTAAGGCTTACCAACTTTGTAGCCATTGTTGGAACTTAAAAGTCTTTGGGAAGCAATGACTTCTAGGTCAGGAGCCATGATAGACCATTAAGAGGTCTTTGGCCTAACCACTGAGCTTTGCCTGGCTCCACTGACCTATCACTTACAGCTTAGGCAGTGTTGATCAGTATGAGCAGCTTTATTGGCAGAGACTCTGGGAAGGACTGCTTGCTGCCCTGCACTTGGCTGTGTGGCAGATGCTGGACTTGACAGGAACACACAGGGAAGGGACTTCACTGCTTGTTCAGGTGTCTGGGTGGGAGGAGATGTAAGTGAAAAATAAAGGGGTTAAGGTTACAAGATAGACAAATCAACTTTGGCCTGGGGGACTGAACCAGAATAATTTTGGGGAGAAGGGGGGATCACGTTTTTCCTTTGAAGGTTGCATGTTGCAAGGAAGTTTGAAGGTGATTGTAATAACTAACGCTGGCACTGCTGTCTTCTAACTAAAGCCATGAAATCCTAAGTGATCCCAGTTCTGGAAGAGGTGGTTCCAGAGGGCCTCACGTAACCCACCCCTTGCCTCATGACTTCCTCCCAAACCTGTGTTCATTCCAGCCTAGATTTATTGCCTGAGACATTATGCATCTTCCAGCAGTGCCTCACTGCACTGTACAGAAATGGAAAAGCATGAGGGGAAAAATGAGTGGGGCCTGACCACTTAGGTAGTTGCTACACATTGCAGTTGCTATACTTTTATATTGTTATGGGCATAAAACAAAGTGATTGGAAGCCAGGTGCTGGTGGTCCATGCCAATAAGAGGCTGAGGCCTAAGGATCATGGTTCAAAACCAGCCTAGGCAGGAAAGTCCATGAGACTCTTATCCCCAATTAGCCACCAAAAGCTAGAAGTGGAGTTGTGGCTCAAGCGGTAGAGTACCAGCTTTGAGCACAAAAACATTCAGGGATAGTTCCCAAGCCCTGAGTTCAAGCCCCAAGACTGGTATACACACAAAATAAATAAATAAATAAATAAAGTGCTTGGAGATTTATTATGACTCTTGAGAATTTTAGTGAACTAAATGCCAAATGTAAGATAATCTCTTGCTAGTGAGTGGGGGTTCTATTTGTAAAGGACTTACTTTTCTGATTCCTCCCTTGGCATCCTCCTAGCTGCACGTTCCTTTCATTGGGGGCCTCTTAGATGTGGGGACTGAAGAATTGACTCTTGACCTTTACATGTGAAAAATTAAAGGACATGTTCTTTTAGGATGACAGGATATAGGAGACCGAAGAGGAAGGGCTAGAGTAGTTTAGATCAGGAAATAACATTCTTCCCATCTCCACTCAGATTAAATTCTAGTGAGTCTTTGGCTGCTCTCTACAATAGGGTGAAGATAAAGAAGATCACAGCATCTGGAAAGGCTCCTCTGTATTTTTCCTCTCTGCCCAGCTCTGCTTTCTCCTGTCACATAGAAATGAAAATGCCTGATTAACTGCCTCCTTGGTTCTGTGCCCGTGTTATTGACACAATTAACCTGAAGATGCTGAAGTGCTTGTTCTGTGCTGTGCTTGGGGCCACATGTTGCCCTTTCAGACTAATATCCAGGTTTCTTTTTGTTTTGGTCAGAAGATTCTGTCTCTCATCGAGTGCTGTGGTCACTCTTTTCTTTCTCCAGTTTGTCCATATCATTCCAGAACAGTCTTTTTATCCTTTTCTCATTCTTCCAGAGGGCTGCCAGAGCAGCAGGCTGCCTCCTCTCTCTTGTTTTTCTACTTTCCTTGATTTGGCCAGTGTGTGTGGGCAGAGCTCACATGGTGTCTGCTTCTCTCTAGGGCAATGACATCATTGCAGCAGCCAAGCGCATGGCTCTACTGATGGCTGAGATGTCTCGGCTTGTGAGAGGGGGCAGTGGTACCAAACGGGCACTTATTCAGTGCGCCAAGGACATCGCCAAGGCCTCAGATGAGGTCACTCGGTTGGCCAAGGAGGTTGCCAAGCAGTGCACAGATAAGCGGATTAGAACCAATCTCTTGCAGGTACTTGGGATGAGGTTGTGTGTGTGTGGGAGGGATGTGAGGGAGAAAAGCAGCAAAGAGGCATACATGTACATTTGGGAAAGGCTCAAGGACTTATATTTCCTAATCATATGGAGGAATTAAATGAAAGGTCTTCTACTTTCAGACTAGGGGATAACTGAGCTTAGGGATATGTATTCATGCTGCTAATGTAGAGTATCTTCTACATGCCAGCCAGTGAGAATAAAGGTGGATGTCCTATTGTCAAGGAGCTTGTAGGCAAGACAAACATGGATATACTCTAAATTAAACTTTCTATTTAGGTATGTGAACGAATCCCAACTATAAGTACCCAGCTGAAAATCCTGTCCACAGTGAAGGCCACCATGCTGGGCCGGACCAACATCAGTGATGAGGAATCTGAACAGGTATGTATGTGTCTACTGCTTTTGCTTCCTTGCCAGCAACTTTAAGAGTTTGCCACTGAATTCAAGTATTTAGTATGTGGGATGGACTCTAGGATTTAGGCATTCAGGACAGTGTGTGTTGGAGACTCATCAGAAGTCTGGGATTGGAAGTGAAGCTCTTGTGTAACTTCTGCCATTTTACAGATGAGTAATCAAGAGTGTCAAAGTAACACCATGAATCAGTGACAGCAATCTACTCAGTTCTTTTCCCTCTATAATAGTTTGGCTCTTTTGAGGTTTCCGGTGCCTATTCACTCCCACTCAGTGTCCTTTCAACCAGAGAATGTTTTCTTTCCTGCTTTCTAGGTGACTTTCCAGGGAGATGAACAGGCTTTTCAAAGGCATGAAGTGCTTGAGACCAACTGCTGAGATTAGCAGTTCAAGAAGGTGCTTCCCTTACATTGTTTAGGTTTCTTTAGCAGCTAGTAATTTAGTATTAGAGTTAGAACTGGGGGCCTCACACTCTCTAGGCAGGTGCTCTACCACTTACGTTATATCCACAGTCCTTTTTGCTTTAGTTGTGTTTTGGATAGGGTCTCCCATTTTTGCCTGCCTGCCTCTGCCTCCTCTGTAGGTATGCCTAACCATGTTCTGCTTTTTTTTTTTTTGAGATGCATGGAGACTTCATGAACTTATTGCCTGAGATGGCCTTGAAATACAGTTGTTCCGATCTCTTCCTCCCCTGTAGCTGGGATTACAGCTTGCAACATTATACTTTACAACATTATATCACTATTAAGTGATACTTTTTTTTTCTTTTTTTTGGTTGTGGGGCCTGAACTCTGGGCCTGGGTGCTGTCCTTCAGCTCAAAGCAAGTAATCTACCTCTTGAGCCACAGCACCACTTCTGACTTTTTCTGCTTATGTGGTGCTGAGGAATCGAACTCAGGGCCTCATGCATGCAAGGCAAACACTACCACTGAGCCACCTTCCCAGCCCTTAAGTGATACTTTTTGGATATACCTTATCAACTATAATTTTCCTATTCTCTTCCTCCTTGAATTGTGGCCCAGATTTTTCAGAAAACCTTCAAGTAACCTTTCTCTCATCCCTCTGGTAGGCTTTGCTCTGAACTCCATTTTTTGGGGGGGGGGTCGGTTGTGGGGCTTGAACTCTGGGCATGGGCGCTGTCCCTGCGCTCTTCAGCTCAAGGTGAGTGCTCTACCGCTTGAGCCACAGCACCACTTCTGGTTTTCTAGTGGTTAATTGGAGATAAGAATCTCATTGACTTTTCTACCCGGGCTGGCTTTGAACTGTGATCCTCAGATCTCAGCCTCCTCAGTAGCTAAGATTACGGGTGTGAGCCACCAGCACCCGGCTTCCATTTTCTTCTTATGGTAGTGAGCACACCCATGTTAAACTGACCATTCCTCCCCTTGAGGAAGCCACAAGTAATTTTGGAGACAATTATTTCTGGCAGGAGACAGAGGCTAGCACATTACAGAGTAGACAAGGAGGCTATTCTTGGTGTGTTCTTTGCTTGCTTTTCACCATGTGCTAATCTAACCATTCTCACTTAACCCTTCTCCAAATAAGGGAAGCTTAATCTTTATCCCAAGCAGAGTCTAGGCACTAGTCTGTTTTCCTGTCATGTCTTCTGCCTTAGGGGGAAAAATAGAGAAAGAAGAAAAAGACTCAGATTCAGGCTAAAGGCTTAATTATGTAGTATGTAATTTAACCAACAAGAATGTATCTTGGGAATATTCAGTACAGTTAAGGAAAAAAAGGTAGAAACTAACTGTTGGAGAATGGTACAAAACCAGGACTGCAAGTGTGTAGTTAGTTCTGAGTTCCCATCCTGGCTCTGTTTTGTGAGTTTGACTGGCAAGATTCTAAACTTTATTGACAAGTGAAAAGATGATTGAACAGGAATTTTAGCTCAAAGTTATTTCTGCGAACCCTCTGAAATTTCATGTATAACTTTATGCACATTGGCATTTTGGGGGGTGAACTCATAGCCTTCATTAAATTCTCAAAAGAACCTATGACTCAAAAATAGTTATGAATTACTGGGCTAGAGATTCATTATATTCTCTGAATTTCTGAATATACCAGTAAGATCCTAGCTCTAAAAGCTGGATGTTTGGAAAATTAGCTTAGATTTTTATGAATTTGTAAGTTGCCTGGTTTATTGGTTGTATTTTTCATTCATTAATGAAATCTTTCTTAAATACCTCCTATGTGCCAGTCAACTAATAAAACTGACAAAACTGTCCACCTTAGGAGAGTTATTACATGTGGACAACACCCCCCCAAAGAACGTAGGTAAAATATATAGTAAATCAGTTAGTGAGGATGGTTTCTGTAGAGAAAAAAGGAGAATTGTAATGCTGGTAGTTAGAACATGGTTTGTGATTTAAAATAACCAAAGAAGGGAAGGCTTGGCAAATGATAGATAAGCAAAGATCTGAAGGATATGATAGGTAAAGCCATATATTACCTGGGCGAAAAGCATTCCAAGTAGAAGGAATAGCAAGAGTCCTGAGGAAGCAACATATTTGAAGATGAAGAGTTCACTCTATAGGCCATTAGAGGGCAGAGTTTACAATCAGTGAATCAGGTTTGGGATAACCTCCAGTGATGCAAATAAGTACAATCTACTCGTTGCTCAACCCTATTTTGGAGGCAAGTTGCATCAGGGATTACTATAACAGCGCTTCTTGCATTGCAGGCCACAGAGATGCTGGTTCACAATGCCCAGAACCTTATGCAGTCTGTGAAAGAGACTGTGCGAGAGGCAGAGGCTGCTTCAATCAAAATCCGAACAGATGCTGGATTTACACTGCGCTGGGTCAGAAAGACTCCTTGGTACCAGTAGGCACCTAGCCAAACCTGGCTGTACAGAAACCCCAACTAAACAGGAGAATAATCTGAATTCCAGATGTCATAATGAATTGCTGGGGATCAAAAGCCACATCCTAGCCAGAAAGAAATGGGGGCCCTCTTTATATTAGAAAACATTTATATACTTTTGTCAGGCACACTTTGAAACAGGTCTCCATGTATATCCTGTATTCCCAAACACAGTTATAGTTGTGCACACACTCTCCCAATAGGCAAACTATTCTAGAAAGCCCATGAACTTTATGTAAACTAGGAACCTCAGATGAACACTAGCCAGAAACTCTGTTCTATCCCAACTCATTATGGGACATTTCCTTCTGTTTCCCATTCACTGGCTCTCATTTTCCTGTTTCCAAGCAAGGGAACAGCAAGTAAGTTAAGAAAATCACTGTGCCTCCAGAAATTGTTTTAGGTTTTCTATGTTGTTGCCAACCTTGCCTGTTTTCCTTAGGCTGTGCTACCTTCTTCCTTTTCAAAAGTAAGCTTCACAGCTACAGGAAAAGGTGGCCTCTGGGGAGTCTGGCATATATGGCCTGGATTCATTGCCTATTCTTCCAAATTTAGTCCTTTTAGTTTCCCACTAGAATAATACCTGATTTCACTGTCAAGAGGAAATCCCAGAATCATACAATTCTGGTTTTTACCAAGTCTGTGAGCAACGTCTGTATTAGGGAAATTTCCAGTCCCATCTCCTTCCAAGGTAACTGTCTCACAAACACTTTGTCTGGTGCTCTCTGCCACTGGAGGGGCAGAGGAGCTAAGGCTATGGTTGTGCCCATCCTCCCAGAGGGCCACTCCCGGTGCTCCATGCTTTGTCACTGCCTGCAGAGGCCTGAGCTGAGGCCTTACCGTTCATTCTTAGCTCTTAACTTTTTTTCCCCCCTTTTTTCCTGAGCTGAAATGCTGCATTTAATTTTTAACCAAATCATGGTATATACTTTAGGCCTTTGTTGTCGTCTTCCACGATCCCTTACTAAATAAGCTTTTAAAGACACATAGGTGTGTGCTTGTATTTTTTTTTTTTTTTGATGGGGGTCTCACATGTTGCCTGTGTGGATCTTGCACTCTTGTACCCAAGTGATCCTCCTGAGTCAGCCTCCCAAATAACTGGGACTACAGGTTCACACTACCCATTCCTAGCTTTGTAATTTAAAAGATTCTTTCTCTTTTTGAAATTCTGCCCTAAGAATTAGTGCTTGGTCCCCAAGAGTATTTAATGGAAATAAAACCTTTTTTTGAAGGACACTTCCTATCTAAGAGACAGTGGTATTTGCAGACTAGAATTCTGGTGCTGCTGTAGATAATGGGAAATGCTCTCCTTAGCTCCTGCCTCCCTTCAACCAACTAAAAGCTGAGCCCCTAAATATGATCGTTCAAGAGAATGAGTTTTTCTCCTAAAAACAAGTGTTCAAGAGGATAATGAGTTCATTTTAATTATCACTATAGTAGTTTCCTATTAGGCAACATCAGATAGAAGGCAACTTTTCCTTTTCTTGCACTATCAGTGCTGTCTAAGCATTCCCTAGCACATAAAATCATATTTATTCCCAAACTCAGAACCAAATGGTTCCTTCCTCTGCCCAATGTGTTAAGATTCCAACAATGAATGTGTAAATCCTGTCTTACGTTGGTCCTATACACTTGGGCATCCTCTATTTTCTTTTAACTATTTTTTTCCAAGGCCCTCAGCATATGTTTATAGTTGCTTACCTGACATAAATGCAATATTAATGCCTTTAATGTATGAATCTATGCCAAAGATCACCTTTTGTTTTACTAAAGATTACTTAGAGGAAATAAGGAAATCATTTGCTCTCCATGTTCTTCCAGTGTTTTAAAACACTGGTTTACACTTTATGCCAGATGTGCTTTCTCTAATAACAGTGCTCAAGACACAGTGAAGCAAAAAAAAAAAAGCCCCTGAATGATGACTTTGAGATATCACCACTAAAAAGAACTATATGTATAACCTAGGATTTGTTATATGAAAATATTTTCTGCCTCTTCTTTTGTTCTGTTTAAAACAATAAAATGCATTTATATAAATAATGCTCTAAATGGGTATTATTTTAACAAGACCTCTTAAGCCTATTTTTCCTTTGCTTTTAAAGATTAACCAATGAAACTAATTCTCAAGATCTGCAACTAAAGATTTTTATTTTATCTAATTAGAAGACCAAATGGAACTATGTTATAAAGGACAGCTTTGGGGATTATACACTAAGAGTAGAGGTGACACAGGTTCACAGTGGGCAGAAAGCAGCTGATCATCCTGGTTGAAGAAGTCTTTCATCTTACAAGATTCTAGCTAATATTGGAGAGCATCATTGTCTTCTAAAAGCTTAAGCTGTGAAATGTGGAAGACCATTAGAAGACCACTTTATTGTTCATATTATTATTATTATTCCAAAACACAGTACAGTAGTACTGTAGTAGTATTAAGAGAAATAAGGTTGTTAAGAAATTACCAGGGTTTTGAGACAGAGGTTGCTTTGGGGGATATATTTCTCTTCTTGCTTAAGGAAGCACCAAGTAAAACATTAGGAACAGGTTTTTGGATGAAGTGGGAAAGCATTGTTTTTGCCTGATTTTCTAGATCTGAAAAGATATCATTGAAGGTGTTGTCAACTGCAACTACTAGTATTTTGCTTAGAAAAATTGCCACTTGTGTCTAAGGCTACTGAATTAGCTCAGCAGCTTGAGGCTTTTTTTTTTTTTTTTCTATTTATCCCATTTGTGTTAAATGGTGCTTCTTTCCTGTTGGGTTACAGTACTTCCTCAAATCATTTGTTTCTAAGGACAAGGCTAGCATATTTCAAGGTTTTCAACACAATCATTTAAGGATTGAACCTATCAGGTGAACTTTCCCTTTGGATAAAATGATGGGGACTCTTTCATGCAGAAAAACATTTCATTTGTTCTTAAAATCTCTTTAAGAATTTAATTAGAGTAAAGGGACTGTTGTGAGTTTAACTAGAATTCTGTACTTGAAAAATATTCTAATGACTATTGTTGGACCCATATTGGTAGGTGGTAGTGTAAAAATAGTAGTTTTGGTCACTTACCAATTCAACTGTGGCCAGACAAGTGATGTTTAAAGTATAAATGGCTGTGAACATACCAATTTGAGGAGAAAAGCAATTGGACAAGCTGTGCAGCAGCTCTCATTTCTTATGGTAGCACAGAGGAATCTAACACTGAGGTTTAAAACTGTTCAATCAAAAATCAAGCTAAAAAAATCAATTTGTTACTTTGATCTATTTTATTGACAGTATAGCCAGAACTAGGGAAAGGACTTACTGGATTATATAATTAATAAATACAATAACTTAATTGTAAAAGGAAACAGTGTCTACTTGGAAGTTTTAGAAGAAATTGTTGGAGGCAAGGGACTATTGGTGTACATTCTTGGGTATATGAGAAGATACAGCACAGGAAGAAAATAAATTGGACAGTCCAGATTATGGATAACTGAGATCAGGGATTCTGTAGAAAGAAAAGCAAATGTGATTGCTCTACTAAGGTAAGAACTCTGAAGAATGATTTAGGGATGTAGCTCAGCGGTAAAATATTTGCGTTGCATGTGCAAGCCCCAGCAACACACACACACACACACACACACACACACACAAATTGAATTGGCTAACCAATCTTAAGCAAAGGGAATACACACACACACAAATTGAATTGGCTAACCAATCTTAAGCAAAGGGAATAAATAATAAATACTTAGCAACATTTTTACTTTAGCTGCCCAATATATTGGTTACTTTAGAAATTTAAAGGTTGTATTGGCTGTTGGTGACTCATTCCTGTAATGCTAGCTACTCAGGAGACTGAGATCTGAGGATCACAGTTCAAAGCCAGCCCAGGCAGGAAAGTCGATGAGACTCTTATCTCCATCTAATTAACTACCAAAAAGCTGGAAATGGCACTGTGGCTCAAAGTGGTAGAGCACAAAAGTGATAGAGCACAAAAGCCTAGGCCAAGTTTAAGCCCCAGGACTAGCACAAAAAACACCACCACAAAAGCATTCTGAAAAAGTGGCCTTTCTCACTAGAAGAAAGGTAGGTTGGATGCCCCAGGCAGGAAATGCAAAGAATGATACTATACAATGGTGAGCCAACTACTAGAACTTACCAGAATGGGATGAATGTAAAAAATGGCCTTAGCGTAAGGGACAGAGTAGAAGAGTGAAGGAAAATAATGGAGCCACAAGGAAATAAAGATAAAAAAACAACTAGTAGTATTAAGTATAAACAAGAAGGCTTGTGTTTTAATGTTCAGCCTCCTTCATTTCTTTATATCTAGTGATTAAAATAAGTAGGCTGTGACTGCCAAGCCAATAGAATTGATAAATGTTCTTCCATGTACTCAGTACAGGAGAAATACTGAAGTACTCATTGACCATTCTGACAACAGTATGAATAGAGGAAGGCTTGGCAAGTACATAATATGGAAAGGAATTGTCCCTAAAGACAAGGGATACAGGCAAATTCAACCCCTTAAGAACAAAAAAGATGAAGATTAAAAAGAAACCACTGACAATAGTGAGGCAGACACATGTTCCTCCCTTTGCTGTAGGGCATGAGGCTTTTAGGCTATTGGATAAAGTTTTACAAGACATGAAAATGGCAAAGGGCTCACTTAAATTTCTCTTTTACTGCCTTAATTTGCTTCAAAGTGCAAATATTTGTGCTTGCAACAACTTCCTAAAAGCAGAAATAGTGTTTCCTTTTATTACCTTAAAAAGCACTTGCCCCTTTGATACAAATGATTTTTTTTAATATTGTGCTCTCTAACAGCTGAACCAGTGGCACACAATTGAGATGGTATATTACTGCAGCAATGTTCTTGTAAATCAAAATCTGAGCTTTACATAAAAATCTTATTTATAAAAAATATAATACCAAGTACAGTGAGAATGGAGCGTGGAGCAGCTCAGCTCCCTGCCAGGCCATGTGTAAGTGGCTTTTGCTACAGTGCTTGCTTAATGGCACAAGTGAAAAGCTGAATAAGGCAAACACTTGAAGAGGCAGTTTCTGTAAACTTCTTGGGGGTGGGGAAAATTTCCTGTTAGGACAGATACTGATTTGAGATAACTAAGATCAGAAGGCATAACATTCGGCTGCACCTGACATCACATAACAGAGTGATAGTTTTGCTGGATGAGCCAGTTCACTTGCTGTGGCAGAGGTCATTACTGTAGCCTTCCGCCTTTACTGTTTCAGGTGTGCAATACCCAACTGGTGGCCCTCTGTGTGAAAAATCATCTCCAAAATCTTCATAAGTGAAAAGATAGAAAGTCAGCTAAGTTATTAGAAAACTTCCCTTAGCTTAAAGCTCCTTAAGAACACTACATCAGTTACTAAGCAATTTTGTTAGTGGTGTGTCGCTTGACAAATGCTTCAACTAGAATATGTATTCCCACCCAATTGGTACCTAATAGTAATAGATTGTAATGACACTTGGAAAACAAACTGATTTTGAGGAATTTTGGCCTTTTCTCATGTTCTCACTTGGAACTTTCCAGCTTTTGTGACATATTTGACTCCTTTAAATGGCTTATATTTCTCTCCATACATGTCCAAACGGTTTACTTTTAAGCCTGTGTCAAAAATAATGAAACACAAATTACTATCCCCATATAAAACAATTGATTTAGCAATGAATACTGAATACTAAATCCTAAATATCAAGCCTTTTCTACCATTTAGAAGCAATATCCTTATTACCATTTATGAATTATTGTATTGTAGGGATGTTTTCATTAAAATAGGGGCTGGGAAGGTGGCTCAGTGGTAGAGCACTTGCCTTGCATGCACGAGGCCCTGGGTTCGATTCCTCAGCACCACATAAGCAAAAAGAAAAAAAGCCGGAAGTGGCGCTGTGGCTCAAGTGGTAGAGCTCTAGCCTTGAGCTGAAGAGCTGAGGGACAGCGCCCAGGCCCAGAGTTCAGGCCCCACGACCGGACCAAAAAAAAAAAAAAAAAAAGATGTCCATGTAGGCTAATTCTATTTCGTATGAATATCACTCACTATCCCCCTCTTTGGTGCGTAAATGAAGTGAGTATGGGGGTGAAGAAATGTTGTGTCAAACAAGGTCTCTCCCAAATCCATGGTATCCCTTAGCACCATGTAAAAGGCAAACAGTTTCTCTTTCCTGATGGTAATATTTGTTAGTCCTAATAACTGGGCTCAGCAAAACTCAGTTATCTGGGCAGCTATTCTTCCTAGAGCACCTGCCTACCAAGTGTGAGGCCCTGAATTTAAACATCAGTACTCTATAACAAAAACTCCCAAACTCCAAAGCTCAATTATCCTTCAACATCAGATTATCCTTACCTGAAATAGCAAGTTGCTGGATCTTGAACTGTATGTTGAGGCTTGGATTCTCTTCTGGCTTGGGTGCTCCAGACTGTAAATTTACCAGTCCTTTAAGACTTGGGAGCTTTTGTGGTGTAATTTTCCCCACATCCCATGTTAGTACCTTAAAAAGATATAAAATCAAAATCTGAACCATTTGTTAAAGACAAGATTCAAAGACACTATGCACTTTATACAAAGTGAAATAGTGTCTTGGAAACTAGAGAACATTTTATGATTATTTAAAAATATGCTTTTATCAGACTTCTCAATACTTCCCACCAAGTAGGAAGCTAAGAGAAAAATCTTCTTTTGTAGTTATTTGAAAGCTTTCTGTTAGAGGCAAGTGTAAGGGTGAGGAACCAGCTCTCCTAACCATTATCCCTGTGGAAGAGTACTGAAATGACATGTTTAACATGCCTATAATCCTAGCTACTCAGGAGGCTGAGATCTGAGGATCATGGTTCAAAGCCAGCCTGGGTAGGAAAGTTGTGACACTCTTATCTCCAATTAACCACCAGAAAACTGGAAGTGGCGCTGTGGCTCAAGAGGTAAAGCGCTAGCCTTGAGCTGAAGAGCTGAGGGAGCTGAGGGACAGTGCTTAGGCCCAGAGTTCAAGCCTCATGACTGACTAAATAAACAGACAAACAAATAAATAAAAAAGGATCAAGTTACAATAATGAGTATCTATAGGAATCTAGTAATTTAAATTATATTTTCTGTATCCACATTTTCATAAAGCTTTTTTACTCACTAATTTTTGCAGTGCAGGAAATGGATCTCAGAGCCTTATGAGTATTACACATGAACTCCCTAGCCTTGCCTTTTAACTGGAGTGGCTGGATTTTAACAGATGAGTTAAGACCCACTCTTAATTCATCTGTTAAGTGGGTCTTCTGTTCATCTACTCAACAGGATTTCTTCTAAGTCCACACACAGCAGAGTAGTCTGCTCATGGGGTTTAGAGGAGCTTTACTTTAAAACACTAACTCCATAAACCCCTCAAAAACCGTAACAACAACCTCTCCTCCTCCTAATCTGAAAATAGATTACAGAAACACTTGCTCACTCTTGATTTGAAGTGGCTGTACCTTGGTGACTGGATCAAATGTATAGCTGCCTTGTGTTGGTGTCAGGTTCATATTCAGCACAACTTTTGGCATGTGAACCGTCACTGTGATTCCTTCAATAGTTTTCCCCATATTCTGCTTTGGTCCAATTGTTATATCAAATCTGCCACAGGAACTGTTCTCCTTAAAGCTGATACTATGTTTCACATACACTGGTATTGCCACTAGACTAGAAACAAAGAGAAAGACACAAAAGCACATATATACACCATGAATGACATGAAACATCTGCCAAGGTGGTCTGCAAACAGCCCTGAATATCCTGTGCTACTGCCAACTCTATGAAGTGTTCTAAACCTCTAGAACTAAAGATTCAGTATTTGCACAGGGGACAGTTGAGTATAACAAAATATCTGGTACCAGTGAGTTAGGAACTACAAGAATTCATTGCAACAAGAATAAAAATTCTAGTTTAGTCACAGTAGACAATCTGGGTTGCTGGGTATGGCAGCTCACACCTGTAATCCTACCTACTTGGGAGGAAGAGATAGGATTATGGTTTCAGGTCTGCTGTGGTAAAATGTTAGAGGCCTTATCTCAAAGAATAAATTGGGGTTGAGTCACCCAGTAATCCCATTTACTTGAGAGGTCTAACTAGGAGGATCCTGGTCTGAAGCTGTCTTGAACAAAAATAACTGACCCTACCTGAAAAATAACTAAAGGAAAATAGACTAGGCATGGTTCCATTGGTAGATTACTTGTCTAGTAGGCACAAGAACCTGAGTTTAAACCTCAATGCAAAGCAAAATAAAAAACAAACCTCAATATAAGCCAGTTGTAGCTTATTACTGTAATTCCAGGACTTGGGAGGTGGACACTGTAAGATCTAGAGTTAAAAGCTAGCCTATGGTATATGACAAGTTGAAGGCTAGCTTGGATTACATACTGAGACCCTGTCTCAGAAACAAAAGTGATAGATGTGGGTAGCTTTTATCTTTAATCCTAGTTACTCAGAAGGCTGAGATCTGAAGATCACAGTTCAAAGACAGCTTGTGCATGGAATGTCCGTGAGACTCTTATCTCCAATTAACCACCAAAAACCTGAAAGTAGAGCTATGGCTCAAGTGGTAGAGCATTAACCTTGAGCAAAGAAGCTCAGGGACAGTTCTGAGGCCCTAAATTCAAGCCCCAAACAAAAACCTCCAAAATTTAGTGCAGAGAAGAGTGTCTTGAAGTGGATAATTTAAGGAAATGTCCTAGGATAGGCCTGTCTCCTGTTAGCCACAAAATCCATAGACCATAGTAAAAGATTAAGGTACCAGATTCATGGTATTTCACCATGAAATAAGATACCAGATGCATGGTATGTAAGCATTGTCAAAGACACTTTTAACTACATACTCCACACTATGAGATTCTAAGTAACTGATTATTTTCAGCACGTATTTTTCACCAGTTCTCACTAGATCTCCAGGTAAGCCATGGTTAAACTCAAGTACAAAACTATCAGAATAAGGGAAAAGGGCAAAGGCAGATTCTGCCTAATGCATCAACATACTTTTGTGAGCTGACACGATACGATATGAGTCGGAAATTTCCATCTGGAGGAATAAATGACAAAACTCTTTCAGATTCCCAACGTTTAAACCGAATGCACGGGTGGAAGCTGACATCATCCAGAAGCCTTGGGTTCTGTCAGAAATACAAAAGACAACTACATTCATAGAAAATAATGAGTATGGCCACACTGATCAGGTATTAGGAGAAATTAATGTGCTCCTTAAGGAAAAAGCAACTAGACACATGTTTATTAATATCACATTGTAACAGCATAAAGTTTCACAATGCTTTAAAGCTTGCACGTATTTTACATAACTATTATTTGAAATTTAGTAAGTATGGGGAGCAAAGGCAAGAAATATTATTTGCATTCCGTAGCTTAAGTTTAAAGTCAGAAACTAACAAAGACACCACACCACCAAAACTACATTTTCTTAAACTATTTTCAGCAGTGTGTTATACTGGGTCTAAAATGATAGGAAACACAAATGTCCTCCCATATAAGCAAAGCAAGTAATTACAGTGAAAGTGACATCAGGGATTTACAGAAGCCAGCAAGCCAATTTAAAGCCACTGCTAGCACTCTTATTTTGTTGTTGTTGGGTTGTAGGGCCTGAACTCTGGGTCTGGACACTGTCCCTCAGCTCTTCAGCTCAAGGCTAGCACTCTACCACTTGAGCCACAGCACCAGCTAGGCTTTTTCTGCTTATACCACATATAATCAAACCCAGGGGATTCATGCATGCGAGGCAAGCACTCTACCACTCAGTGCTAGCACTCTTAAGCAAAACTTTTCCATAAAGACTAGGCACATTGTATGAGGTACTGCTTTGGGAGGCTATGCTAGACATTAGTATTTCTGAGATAATCCTTTGTGATCTAAGTTATAATCTTATCTCAGAGGTTATTTTATTTAGTATATCATATGTTAGATATAGAAATATCAATAAAACAGGAGAACAAAACCTACCATGAAAGAGAGAGAGAGATCAGGCATTCCAGATAGCTTAATGCAAGCATCAATGACCCCCTGAATTTCTGCAAACACTGTAGATCCTAAAGAGATAACAAGGGGTATTATCCTAGAGCTTACACTGTATTCAGAGTAACAGATACACCCTGAGTGTTCTTTATACCTCTACTAATAGGTCAGTGGACAGAGAATCCATTAGTCCAGTTCAGATAGCTGAGAGGTTGAAATATAATTCTATGAAAATCAAACTTGTCTTCTTTATAGAAATAACACTGAAACTACTAGTTTTTTAAAAATAATATGATGGTTGCTTATGAAATGGATTACGCTAATGGTTAGTTTTTAAGAAATAGGAGTTATGATCCATTATTCTATAAGCTGGAATGTTACAATGGGCCTGGCTTTTACTTAAGACAAAATATTAGCTTAATTCATAATAAATCATCACCATGTATCAACTAACTGAGAACTTAAGCAGGTCACTTAATCCTTGTGAGCCTCAGCTTTCTTTTTTTTTTTTTTGGGTCCAGTTGTGGGGCCTGAACTCTGGGCCTGGGTGCTGTCCCTCAGCTCTTCAGCTCAAGGCTAGCGCTCTACCACTTGAGCCACAGTGCCACTTCCGGCTTTTTTCTTTTTGCTTATGTGTTGCTGAGGAATCGAACCCAGGGGCGCATGCATGCAAGGCAAGCGCTCTACCACTGAGCCACCTTTCCAGCCCCTCAGCTTTCTTATGTATAAAATGTGAAGATGTGAAGAAGATGTTTTAATAAGATATTTTATGATTCTTTCTTAAAACAGGGGGCTAGGCTTTCATAGCTTATTTTTGTAATCCTAATTACTTAGAAGGCTGATATTCAGATAATTGTGGTTCAAAGCTAGCGAAAAGTTCACAAAGCTTCATCTCCAAAATAACCAGCAAAAAGCAGGGCTTGACATGTGGCTCAAATGGTAGAACATTATCTAAGCAAGTAAGCTAAGCAAGCAAGTCAGGCAAGCCCAAGGCCCGAAGTTCAAACCTGTATCTTAAACCAAGGCCCTGAGTTCAAACCTGGTATCTTAAACCTGTAATCTTAGCTACTTGGGAAACTGAGGGCAATCACAATTCAAGGCAGCTTGGGCAAAAAGTTTACCAAGAGTGTTGTAATATGGCTTGTACCTGTTATCCGACCTACACAGGAGCCTGAGACAAGAGGATTATATTCCAGGCCAGCCCAAGTTAAAAAAATCTTCCCCTCTCAATAAAAAAATGGTGTGGTGGTGTGTGTCTGTAATTCTGGTTACTATGGGAAGTGTGATCTTGGTCTAGGCTGGCTGGGACAAATAAATGAAACCCAATCTCAAAAGTAAGACTAAAACAGGCTGAAGGTGTAAATCAAATGGTAGAGTTTCTGTCCATAAGTATGAAACTCTAAGTTCAAACTCTAGTGCTACCAAAAAACAGAAGCGGCCTTCACTAGAAATAAGCATGCAATATAGTAGGAAAAGTATGGTAATTATACATAACTTTCAGAGTGAATACACAGCAAGAGGCAGAGATATAGAGGGAAATAACTGGCTTTAAGTAAGGCATCTCAAGTTCCAATTTACAAATGTTTGGCAGATCTCAACTAGTAGTTATGATAATTATATGTAACATCTGGGCAAAATAAATAGATTTAAAAATCATTAGAAATGAATGCCGAGCCACTGAAACTACACTGCCAAGGGATTTCAATTTTCTCTTCAGTTGTCAGTTGAACTGTTTCTTCTTCCTCCATAAGACGACATGCGCACAATTACCTGATTTATCTATAATTGCATCTATTTCTTCCACGACGTCAAAATAGGCTTCGTTGTTTGTGTACTTTACTCCAGCCCGGCGCCATGGGATATTGGAAAGCTGCCCGGTGGGGAGTGTGTCCCCAACATTACTACTGCCTAGAATTTGGAAAAGAAGAAAGTAAAGCTGATGTGTAGTATGGCCATCAGAAAAGCTCTTATCAGGGGGAAGAAAAAAGGAATGCTTTAGTTGCTTCTTCAATGTTTGGACTTTTCCTCATTAAAGTTACAGATAGTCTCTAGAATTGTTGGAGACATAACCATACCAACATGATCAAATTTCTAGAGGCAGAAACAGGCCATGTACTCCTGTTTACCTGCCAAACCAGTATAAGTGCATTTACTTATCTTCTGTTTCTTATTAGCTGTAACCTAAGCTAATTCTAGTGGCTCAACAATAGCATCTCATTCGGCTGCCAGTGACTTTAAAAAACAAAACAAAACAAAAACAAAGGTTGGCTGTTTTAAAACTTTCTATGAAAAATGTCTCCACTGAGAACAGAGAGTGCTTGGCTCTTGGTATTAAGTAGAATTCTACATAAAATGCTGCCAAGAAGACCTCAGTGGAGTAATGAAAAAAGGGACATAATTTTAGCTTTTCTCATTAAAGGTCAGTGTACTCATTTGGCTTCAATATAGCTAGTATTCAATATCTAGCTAATTTCCTGGTAAATAATATGTTTCATTATCTAAAATACACATACTTGAACTAGGACTTAATATTTTGGTTAATTTACATTTCCAATGCAAAACTAGTACATGTTGAGCCATGAAAATGAGAGAGAAAAGAAGCGCTTAGATTTAACAAACCTGTTTTCTTACCAAAATACACATTTTGGAATATTTCTTTAAATACTTCCCCCTATAAATAGTATTTATTATTATTTTTCTATTCTAATAATTTTAGCTTTTTTGGATTGTACTTGAGTTAGATATGGTGATACATGTCTGTAATCCTGATTACTTGGGGGCAGAGATGGGACAATAGAAATTTGAAGCAAGACTGAGCAAAAGGGTTATTTGAGACTTTATTACAAAATAACAGTTAGGGTATGGTGGCTCCTATCTGTAAGCTCAGCTACTCAGGAGGCAGGGGCAAGAAAATCATGGTCTGAGTGAGGCAGGTCATGAAAAAAAGAATAAGACCTTTCTTGAAAAATAAACTAAAAGCAAAAAGAGGACATGCTCAAGTGGAGAATACTCCTAGGTCCTCAGTTCAAACCTAATATTGCCTAAATAAAGTAAAATATATACAAAAATACAGATGAAAGCCTGGTACACCTGTCAGCCCTTAGGAGGATAGAAGAATCTAAGACTGAGGCAATCCTGAGCCATATAGTAGAATTTGTATTAAAACTAGGACCAAAACAACATACAAAAAACAGTACAGCTGAGTGCTGGTGTCTCACATCTGTAATCCTAGCTATTCAGGAGAATGAAATCTGAGGATCATGGTTCAAAACCAAGGCCAAGAAAGTCTATAAGAGGAGGGGGTAACAATGGTCGATAGGAAATGTACTCATTACCTTACTCATGTTAACTGTCACTCCTCTGTATAGTATCTTTACAATAAAAAATATATATTAAAAAAAAGAAAGTCTGTAAGACTGTTATCTCCAATTAATTACCAAAAAACTGGAAGTGGAGGTGTGGCTCAAGTAGTAGAGCTCTAGCCTTGAGCAAAAAAGCTTAAATAGCACCCAGGCTCTGAGTTCAAGCCCTAGGACTTGTACAAAAAACAAAAACAAAGAAAAGGGCTGGGAAGGCGGCTCAGTGGTACAGCACTTGCCTTGCATGCATGAGGCCCTGGGTTTGATTCCTCAGCACCACATAAGCAGAAAACAAAAAAGCCGGAAGTGGTGCTGTGGCTCAAGTGATAGAGCGCTAGCCTTGAGCTGAAGAGCTGAGGGACAGTGCCCAGGCCCAGAGTTCAGGCCCCATGACTGGACCCCCCCAAAAAAAAACAAACAAAAAAAGAAACCAGTTGCAACCATTACATGCATATATCTATATATATATCTTTTTTTGCTATGTATATACTTCTTGGCTGGCCTCAAACTTGAGACCCTCCTGCCATCCCCTCCAAAGCACTGAGATTATAGGCATTTACCACCATTCCAAGGCTAACAATTTTGTAGTTCACTTGCGGTAGTGTTTGTCCCTCCAACCTGTTGACTTCCAAAAGAATTTTTGAAAAAACTTTTCCTCATGTTATCTTCCCACAAAATGGAAAGGCAGGCTTCACTCTTTACCCATTTGCCTTATGATAAAGAGTAACTAAGGGTTAGGAGAGACTCCCCTCCCCTACATGTCCATGAAAATAGTTTGCCTAGTATTCAAGACCCTCTGAGACGGGGTCTTGTTATGTTGCTTAGGCTAGTCTTGAACTCCTGAGCTCAAGTAATCCTCCTGCCTCAGCTTCCCATATAGCTGAGACTATAGACACAAATCCCTACACCTGGCCTGATGTCACTTTTAAAATTCAGTTTGGGGGCTGGGAAGGTGGCTCAGTGGTAAAGCACTTGCCTTGCATGCCTGAGGCCCTGGGTTCGATTCCTCAGCACCACATAAGCAGAAAAAGCCGGAAGTGGCACTATGGCTCAAGTGGTAGAGTGCTAGCCTTGAGCTGAAGAGCTGAGGGACAGCGCCCAGGCCCAGAGTTCAGGCCCCCACAACCGGCAAAAAAAAAAAAAAAAATTCAGTTTGTTTTTTTTTTTTGTCAGAGTTCCATCTATAAAGAATGCTCTTATTCCTCCACCCTATATTCTACTACATTCTACTGAGACTCTAGGTCCTACGTAAGAGCCACCTCACTAGTACTACAGGTCAGTACTTCACTGGACCAGTCTTCTGAACTTCGTAAGATGTTATCTTAGCAATCTCTGTTGCTAAATATTTTTACATATTTTAGTAACATTTTCCTAACAAATACTTTTTCTTTTAGACAATGAATAAATATAGAACAAGGCTTGGAATGTGGCTTAGTGGTAGAGTGCTTTCCTAGTATGCATGAAGCCCTGGGCTGATTCCTCACTACCACATACACAGAAAAAGTTGGAAGTGGTGCTGTGGCTCAAGTGGTAGAATGTTAGCCTTGAGCCAAAGAAGCTCAGACACACACACACACACACACACACACACACACACACACACGCACAGAGCAAAATTTTTTTTAAAAAGATAACATGCCTAGGCTCTGAGTTCAAGCCCCAGGACTGGACACACACACACACACACACACACACACACGTGCGCACACACACACGCGCGCGCACACACACACACGTGCGCGCACACACACACACACACACACCAAAAAAAGTTTTTAAAAAGATAACATATTTCCTTACCTGGTGACAGCTACTCTAAACATATCAGAACTTTTGTTTACGCATATATTTACATAAAACCATAAGTAACTTCTTCTGATTTTGTTTTTTCCCCCCAGTTAGTATTATATATACTTTCCAATATTACCCTGCATTGTCTATGAAGTATGGAATTGCTTTTTAAAATATTAAACTGCTAATTAAGCATTTAAACTTTTTTCTGCCTCTCATCTAAAGTATTAGTTTTAACAGCACGGATACTTTATGTGCCTTTGAATTTACCTAAAACTTCTGAGTTCTCCTAAAACTCAGCTTTCACAAAATATTACAAAAAAGTTGCTGAATGAGCTGGGCGCAAGTGGCTCAGGCCTGTAATCCTAGCTACTCCGGAGGATCAAGGTTCAAAGCCAGCCCGGGCAGGAAAGTCCGTGAGACTTATCTCCAGTAAACCACTAGAAAACCGGAAGTGGTACTGTGGCTCAAGCGGTAGAACACTCGCCTTGAGCTGAAGAGCACAGAGACAGTGCTCAAGCCCAGAGTTCAAGCCCCATGACCGACCAAAAAAAAAAAAAAGTTGCTGAATGATTTACTTTTTGGTATGTCTTTTTCATCCCATTTTTAGGTCAATAAATTGAAGATGATAGATTTACAAAGATAGACAATATAGTGGACACAAAAATTTAAGAGTATTTTCATTTGGATATACTTGATATATTTAACTTTTCATTATACTCAAGAACAAAACCCAATTGGAAGTTTGCTTGATTGAGATACCACAAATGGGCTCATTTCTTCTTATTTTTTCCGTTCCCTTCTTTCCTTCTTCCCTTCTCTTCATTCTACCTTCCCCCCACCCCCACCCCTGACACCTCTCTCAGGACTGAGGATAAAAGCTCAGGGCTTCGTGAATGCTAGGTATTCTACCTATCATTGAGCTGCAGCCTAGCCTTTTTTGGTAAAAATAAAATTCATAATTTAAAGAACATATCATTTTAACATTGCCACTAATTTAAATTTTGGTCAAATCAGATCACCTTGTAGTATGTTAGACCCTAAGCAACAATAAAATTTTAGTTGTTTGGTTCCCAGTAAACTGTGTCCAACTTTCATACCTGTAATAGAGTTGACGACAGAACGCAGAATTGTTGGTGGTTTAATCAGTTCTTTCAAAATGTTAGATTCAGTAGCCAGAGGAAATCCATTGTCTAACATTTCTTCCAATAGCTCATATACTATGACGACATTATCCTTAATTGCAGCCTCCGAACACTCACCAAAGTAGTCCTAACAAAATATTTATAACACTGAACAACAAAAAGTATACAGAAAGGCTTCCTAGAAATGGTTCTGAAATTTCCTGTAAGCATAAGTCACTGTTTTAAGATGTTAGAAATATGTAAAACAGAAAAGAGACAGAGACAAACAGTACACATTAAAAATTGGAAATTACAAATGATTATGTGTCTCCCTCCAACTGACCCAGGTAATTTAAGTTATAAAAGTTTCATGAAAACAAACCTGAAAAGTGTCAGCAACTCGATGTAGGAACTCAATTACAAAGAGAGGTGGCACTTCAGTCTGGATGACAGACACAAAGAAGAGCTTATCCCGGTAGATACTGATGAGGTAGTGGTGAGGTGTTGAAATGACAGGTGGTACATTTTCAACATCAGCAGCTTTCTCTTGAGCTTCAAAGAAATAATCACACACAGACTGGCTCACAACACTTTTCCAATGCTTCTCTAGAAATATGTCTCCAGAACAATTTATGAGAAAGAGACTGTGGATCATTTTCTGTGGAGAAAGAAGAGTAAATTTACTACACCTCAGTACGTATATTTGTATCGGTTCCTTTTATCCTAGTCATTTGTGAGGCCAGGATGGAGAGAACCATGGTTCAAGGCCAGCCTGGGCAACAAGTTAGTGAGATTCTCCTCTCAACCCATAAAAAGATAGATGTGGTGGTGCACAGTTATCATCTTGCTATATGGAAAGCACAAATAGGATCACAGTCCACACCTGCTCAGGGGGGGAAAAAAGTGATACCTGAAGGGCTAGGGACACAAGTGATGAGCATCTATCTAGCAAGGGCAAGGCTGAGTTGAAACCCCAAAACTTGAAAAAAAAAAAGCCTGAATGATGCTGCAAGCTTGTAACCCTAGAACTCAAGAGGATTAGACAAGAGGATCATGAATTCAAGACCAGCCAAACCCAAGCCAATAACCCAAGCCAAACCCACAATCCACCAATCTACCTTCCTCCCAATATAAATTCCTTGAGAAGATACTTGCAAACCAAATCTAACAACTTATATAAAAGTTTAATGAAGTAGAGTAGAAATTATATATTTAAAAGACTTTATATAGTTTATCTCAACCATTCACCCTATTACAAATAGAGTTCATGTATTTCTATGGCCATAATATACCCTGAAAGAGTTGCTTGTTCTTGAAGCAAGTAACTTGGGACAGTTCCCTTATTTTAGAGCCTGAGCTCTTTTTCATCCTTTCTAGCTGGTAGAAAAATTATTTCCAGGAAAGTTTCCACCAAAGTTGTTTTTATTGGCAGCAGTTCAACTTTCAGAGGAATATAATAAGTTAAACCAGCCCACTGGATTTATTGTTGTTATCCTTAGTGTTGAGATGAAAGAGTAACACTTGCAGCTCTCAACAATGCTTAGCTTTAAAATCCATCTTAACTTTCTATCATAGGAAAAGAGACCTTATTTTTTTCTGATATAATGAGCAATCGACTAATACATATAAATACCACATGGAGTAATATAAATTAGAAAAGTTATACACTATCACCACAACCAGTTTTTTTTTGGGGGGGTGGGGGCAAATATGGAGGTTTGAACTCAGGGCCTTACACATGGTTGGCTTGGCACAGTACAAATAATCCATACCTCATGCCCTGCTTTTCACTGGTTGTTTTTAGGATAGTCTCAGCTCCCTGCTTCAGCTTGTGCCACGAGACACCTTCTATTAGGCTTCCCATTGTTGCTGGGATCACCAGCATGTACCACTAAGTCCAGGTTTCCTACATGGAGATGGACTCTCAGGGACTTGTTATGTCTAGGCTGGCCTGGAACCACAATCTTGGCTTCCCATGTACGTTAAGATGACAGGTGCATGCTATTGGACCTAACTACAGATTAAGAAGAGGTCTCTTGAGCTTTTCTCCATAGGCTGGCTGCGAACTGCAATCCTTGGATCTCAGCCTCCTAAGTAACTAGGACTACATGTAAGACCTATCAGGACACAGCTCCTGTGAGTTTTTTGAGTTACAAAACAGATTCCCCCCCACCCCCCAAGACAGTTTCACCATAGCTTTAACTACTGATTAAATACATCATGGATTCTTTTACTAAACATTATACACTGATCCTAATGTTTCATAAACAATGCAATTACAGTAGTCAAAACATCCTCGGAATGTGTCTAAAAAGTGTTCTTTTACTTTTTTTATTTTTGAGACAGTCTCAATATGTAGGCCAGGCTGATCTTGAATGGTCCTCTTGCCTCTGCCTCCCCACTGTTGAGATTACAGCTTGAGGACCTTTTTAGAACACTGCCAGTCAAACACCTTCATCCAAAACTTTAAAAAATAATTATTTTAAAAAATTATAAATGGAGGGCTGGGAAGTTGGCTCAGTGGTAGAGTGCTTGCCTTGCATGTATGAGGCCCTGGGTTCAATTCCTCAGCACCACATAAGCAGAAAAAAGCCGGAAATGGCATTGTGGCTCAAGAGCTGAGGGACAGCATCTAGGCCCAGAGTTCAGGCCCCATGGCCCACCAAAAAAAAAAAAAAGGAACACTATAGTTGCATGTATATATGATGTACAAAGTTATACAATTATGAATAAAATGCGGAAATTAAATCAAATTAATTAATATATCCCCAAAAAACTAATATGGCAATACACTGTGTATGTATTTACATACTCTAAATTTCTTTGTGTTTTATACATAAAAAGAATATAGTTTTCTTTATTATAGGAAGCACATTTGTGCATATTAAAAATGCATAGTTTAACCAAACAGCGGACACTGGTGACAGCGGACACTGGTGATAACAGGTAAAGGCACTTTCAGTGGTAGTTTATTAGGATGCAGGAAACAAGACATGACAGTGGACTGGGAAGTAAGTCACAAGTAGAAAAAAACCAAAAACAAACAACCAGAAATAAGTAGAGTCAAGGCTAGCTGGAAAGGAGATGAAAAGAAATTAAATGGAACAATTCCTAACAAAAAGACATTTTAGCCGGGTGCTGGTGGCTCACGCCTGTAATCCTAGCTACTAAGGAGGCTGAGATCTGAGGATCACAGTTCAAAGCCAGCCCAGGCAGGAAAGTCCATGAGACTCTTATCTCCAATAAACCACTAGAAAACCGGAAGTGGTGCTGTGGCTCAAGTGGTAGAGCGCTCGCCTGAAGAGTGCAGGGGCAGCGCCCAAGCCCAGAGTTCAAGCCCCACAACCAGAAAAAAAAAAAAAGACATTTATAAATGCTGAAAGGAAGGCACAAAGAGGCCAGAGAAAGCTGATATAAGAGCAAAGAAGAAAAAGAAAGAGGGAGACTAAGAAAGGAATTGAAGAAGGGACATATTTTCCTCTTCAAACAGAGGGGAAGATGGTTAGGGCTGGGGGGCATCTCAAGCAGAATGGTTGCCTAGCAAGTGCCAGTCCCTGGGGTCCCAGTATGGGGAAAGAAGGAAAGGGGGAGAGAGATAGGGGGGCAGGGAGGGAGGGACAGGGACAGGGAGAAGGAGAGGGAGAAGGAGAGGGGAAGAGAAATTTTTTATATTTGTCTGTTAGGGTAGGGAATTAAGTGGGTGGGAGATTGGTGAGGGGTGTGTAGGAATGGCTTCTATTTTTTTTTCCTCTCTGTAACAGGGAAGGTTAACTGTACAGGTAGATTTCCTCTTCTCTACAATACTATTTGCTACTCAGTGAATTGAGATATTGAACATATTCTTTAAATACTTTAATAGCATATTAAGTTGAATGGTTAGAAACGTTAAAAAAAACTTTAAGATTTTATAAGATGAACTAAGCTTGTCAAGACAGCTTTTGTTTTTTTTAGTTAGGAGAAGTTAAGTTTCAGACAATATATCATTCACCTCAATGGCTCCACTTTTCCTATGATCTCAACTGGAAATGTACTCCCCCTCACTCCTTAAAATAATCCTTGGTAATTTTGTCCAGTTTCCTTCCCCTTCCTTCTCTTGTAGGATCTTTTTTACATTGTTTACTTGCCTACCCCCGGCCCCAACATACTTCTTTTACTCTCTTTAAGATAGGGCCTCCACAGGTATACGAGGCTGATCTCAGATTAACAATCCTCACGGTGGGAGCACAGATTTGTACTACTTTCTCGTCTCTTCAGTATTATTACTTCATGCCATGTAGTCTTTCCTCATTCAGCACTAGAAGTAGTTCTCTCAAATGGTCCAATTAACTTTGTAATTATTAGATGTAACTATTCGGATTTCAACTTCCTTCTTTGATCATGGCAGAATTTTGTGTCAACGATAGCGTTTTACAAAACAAAACACACAGCTGATCACAGGTGTTTCACACCTGCAATCCTAGCTATTCAGGAAGGTGAGATCTGAGGACTGCGGGCTGAAGCCAGGCGAGCCAAAAGGTCTCTGAGAGTCTTATTTCTAAGTAATTACTAAAAAACCGGAGGTGGAGGTGTGGTTTAAGTGGTAGAGCGCTGGCCTTGAGTTCAAGTCCCAGGATCTGCACCAAAACAAAAACACCCCTTCCCACACGTGTTTCTTACCCCAATGTATGAAACGTCATTCTTTCAGCTCTCACATAGCTTAATTATCATAACTTAAAAAAAACACACGTGTTTCTCCTTATTTCTATTCTACATCACTGTTAAATCTGATAGATCTCAAATTCCACAAAATGTGTCTTGAGCATGGACAGCGCCCAGGCCCTGAGTTCAACACACACACACACACACACACACACACGTGTTTCTCCTTATTTCTATTCTACATCACTGTTAAATCTGATAGATCTCAAATTCCACAAAATTCCTCCTTCCTCCTGCGAGCTCCTAATCAAATAATGGTAGCACCTTCTCACCCATGCAGACAGGAATTTAAACAAATCCACTACAATCAGACCCATCACGCTTTCACGAGCAAAACCACATTCTCAGTTTAGAGTCAGTTCTTTGGAAGAACTACAACACATTCCTCATCCCCCCCCCCCCCCACGCTTGTCCAGACGCCATCCTCTAGCAGGCCTGTCTCTCAGGTCCATCAGGACGTCTGTCCTGCAAGGCAGAAGCCTTGTGGGACTTCTCCAGTTCCGGAGGGGGGGGGGAGAGGGGGAGACAAGACCTTTTGTTGTTGTTGTAACCGCGCGCTGGAGCACAGCGAGACATCCCAGTGATCACGAGGACCTACTGGAGTCCCACGGTTCGGAACACCGGTGCAGGTGCATAGCTCCCTTCCGGCCCAGCTGTCATGAGAACCCGGAAGGCCGGGCGTGAGGGAACGCACGGCCCAGGCCCACAGGAGCAAACGCTCCCAAGGCCCGCGATGAGTCCCAAGCTCCAGCCATGAAGCCTACTCCCCAGTTTTATTTTGTGTGCGGTCCTCAGTCAGCGGACCCCACACCCCTCAGACTCACCCCGACACCTAGGAGAGTCAGTGATTCGGCGCCGGGTCCTCTCCGGACCGAAGCTGAGGCAGCAGAGAAAGCGGCGAGGACCCCTCACTTAGGAGTGTCCAGAAAACTGCCTGATTGACAGCCTTAAAAACACCGATCAGGTTGACAGTACTAGAAAGATTAAGTAGAAAGACATTGAATAAGGGGGAAGATGCTCCTTGAAACTGAACGATCCAAATCTTCGACATCATCCGGCACCTAGAAGAATAAGGAATCCCGCACTATCTGCATACAGGCGCTCCTCCACCGCCTAACTTATTAAGGGGTCCCTTACAGTGAGGCGTGTTCATGAGGGGGCGGGACAATAGCTGTGCAGGCAAACGGTAGAACCAATGGTTGTGGAGTAGAGTTGTGTAATGGGCAGGGCACAGAGGGGCGGGGCTTATGGGAAAGAAGGCGGTGCGCGCGTGCGGGAGGGCGGAGCAATAAAGTCAAGGGGCGGAGCCCGTGATTGAGCCAAAGTCGGGCGGGAGTGTGAAGATGGCAGCTTCTGAGGAAGAACCGAAGCCCAAAAAGCTGAAGGTGGAGGCGCCGCCAGCGCTGAGGTGAGCGCTGCGCGACGTGGGGAGGAGGGTAAAGACGCTTGCAGCAAGTCAGGGCCAGGTGGGGTTACGCAGCCCCGACGCTGGATGGTGCCCCTCTGCCTACTTGGGACCAAAAACGCGGGACCTGCAGCGTTGCCGGCATGGCCACGATCTCGCCTTGGCGCCTTTCAGTTTTGCCCAGTCGTCTCCTCTTCCAATGCAGCTCGGGCTCTGGCAGCTCTTGACCAATCACAGCAGCCTGCCAGGGAGCCGAGTCTGCGAGGGGCGCCACGTGCGCGGCCACCCTGGCTGGGTTGGCGCGTCGGGTGGAGACCTGTCCCAAGCAGCGTCCAGGTGCTCTCACCTTCCAGCTGGAAGGAGGCCAGTACCTGTTGTACCCTGGGGCAAAGATATATCTTTTGGGAAGTGTTGCTGAAGGGCGCGTGGACTCTGACAAACCATCCCCTGAGAAAAATCCTCGGCCTGAGATTCAGACTTCCCCTCCGAGGCTTGGCGGGTGGCGGGTGTAGATGGGGGCAGCATTTTCTTGAATGAATAGGAAAGACTGATTTGGTTTTTGTTCTTAATTTGCGCATTTGATAGCAGCGGAGACAGTTCTGCCCCAACCGCTGTCGTATGTAATTAATTTTGCTTATAAGTTGATGTTTCTTTTTACCTTTAGAACGTCGTTTGTTAAAACATTCCTTCCTAATAAGTATAAAGTACAGTATACACCATCTTTAATGATTTTGTAATGTTCATTGGAAGCAATGATTTTTCTTACTAAGAATAGATAAAAGTGATTTAAAACTGGCGACTCTGATTATGCAAGACAAATCTCATTTCTTCCAACATCACTCTTCCTCCAAAAGAATGAATTATGACTGGAGACATGGCTTCATTTGGTAGAGCCTCTACCTAGCAAGCTGGAGTCACCGAATTTATACTCCAGTACTGCCAACAAAAAAATAAATAAGGCAATTGAGAATTTTTGGGGCCGGATAGTGTGTTCATGCTTTTTTTTTTTGGTCAGTTTCGGAGCTTGAACTCTGGACCTGGGCGCTGTCCCTGCGCTCTCCAGCTCTAGGCGAGCGCTCTATCACTTTAGCCACAGCGCCACTTCCGGTTTTCTGGTGGTTAATTGGAGGTAAGAGTCCCACAGGGACTTTTCTGCCCGGGGTTGGCTTTGAACCACGATCCTCAGATCTCAGCCTCCTGAGTAGCTAGGATTACAGGTGTGAGCCACCGGCACCTGGCGTTAATGCTGTTTTGAGTGGAGAAGGACCAAATCTCTTCCAGTGTCTTTAATATGTTCCTACTGCCCCCAAAGTGTTACTGTGCCTCTCTAGTACCAAGAATATTTTTTAAAAAAAAAGTAACTCAGATGTCTTATTTTTATTTACTCTTTTGTTGTTGTTGTTGTTTTTGGTAGTGGTACTGTGGTTTAAACGTATGCCATGTGCTTGCTAGAAAGGTGTTCCCTACCACTTTAGCCACATTTCTAGCTAACCCTTTCTGTTTGAGTTGTTTATCCAGTAGACCCTGGTTAAGCCCTGGCAGGCTTAAACTTTGATCCTCCCGTTTATGCTTCCTGAATAGTTAGAATGACCCTCACCTAACTTTTATTTATTTACAATTTTTTGTTGCTATTGTTGTCTATTGTGGGGCTTGAACTCTGGGCCTGGGAGTTGTCCCTGAGCTCTTCAGCTCTACCACTTGAGCCACTGAGCCACTTCTGGTTTTCTGGTGGTTAATTGGAGGTAAGAGTCTCACAAACTTTATTGCCTGGGCTGGCTTTGAACCACGATCCTCAGATCTCCTGAGTAGCTAGGATTACAGGTGTGAGTCACATCGAGGGGCACTTCTATTGTTTTGTGATGGAGTTTTGTGAACATTTTTGCACTGTATGGGTTTAAACTACTATTCTCCTAATCTCTGCCTCTCAGGTAGTTATTTTTTAAGCCTTCAAATTTAGAAAAAAGCCAGGGCTTTAAACAACAACAACAACAAGCAGTCTTGCTACAAAGTCTAAGCTGGCCTCCAGTGCAATCCTACTGCCTCAGCCTCCCAAGTGCTGGGATTGCAAAGATGTGGGGCAATAAGGTATGATGGCATTCAGGGCTTTTAAATCAGACCTACCAGAGTTCAAGGCATGTACTTATCCTTAAAAAAGTATATCCTTTGAAAGGCTTCCACCAAATTGCATGATTCAACTTTTCCCTACTATGCTTCTAAAACACAGACCTTGTATTTTATCTTAATTAAAAATGCAATGCTGGTGGTTTATTTTCATAATGCTTTCCTATCATATTACACAGCTCTATGATTTAAAAAGGGCAACAAACACTGAAGTCCAAACCAAAAGCATTAAAGAAATAGGAACATGAACTCAAGGCATCTGAGTGCATGTTCATTATTTGACTCTACCCAGCCATGCTTCTGTTTGCTTATGCATCCTTTAAAAGAATAACTACTACTGTTTACTACTCAGATATGTATATGCCAGACACTATTTCAGCATTTCACATAATATAACTTACCCCTTAACAATCCTATAAGGCTAATGCCATAATTATCTCCATTTTACCAACAAAGAGAAAGGCACAGATTTGTCTTTAGTGTCTGTTTAAAACTTATAAAATTCCTTATGCAATCAAAATTCATTTTATACATACACTGTTAACATAGTGTTGCCTTCGGACTCAAAGTCAATGGAGTAGGTATTTTGATTACTGGGACAAATCTTAAGTGTAGACTCTTGGGATTGGCTGTTTCTATTTTTATTACACTGTAATAGTTTGATTTTCAGAGTTTCAGCATGATATTTTATTGGGTTGGACTTAGTTAAGCTGATCTGGGATGACTTGCTTGATAGCAAAGGGTAGCTATCAGTTTTGGTTACTTGTTAAGAAGAATGCTTTATACATTGTATGTCTCATCTATTGTATAGAACAGAAAACGGTTCATTGGGAACAAGTAAATTATTGAGCTGTCTTTGTAGATATTAATGAAAGAATTTAGAATTTTTATCATTTCAGCTCTAAGTGTAGTAGTTCTTTTTTTTAATCTTTTAAAATTTAACTTACTTTTATGTATTTATTTTTGCAGACTTAAGTATGCTAGGCAACTGCAATCTTTTTATTACTGAACTATATCCCCAACTTTCTTTTTATGGTTTTAGTATGTCACCAGAAGTTTTTTGTTTTTGAACTCAAGGCCTGGCCACTGTCTTAGCCTTTTGCTCAAGGGTAGCATCCATCCACAGCTCCAGTTGTGGCTTTCTAGAACTAAGAGTCACAGACTTTCCTGACTGGGCTGGCTTTGATCTTAAGTCCTTAGGTCTCAGCCTTCTGAATAGCCAGGATTATAGGTGCCTAGCTCTAGGGCAGTAGTTCTTTATCAGGGTTGAGCGTTCAAAGCCAATCTGAACTATATAGTAAGACCCTGGAAAGAAGGAAAGGGAGGAATATAGGGTAGGGAGGGAGGTAGAGAGAGGGGAGAAAAGAAAAGAAAAAAGAAAGAGAAAGGAAAAAAGAAAGAAATTGGGTTGGGTTCTATCATGTTTTTAGGTGGGTTTAGGAAGAAGGGAATAGTAAATTAGTGCTATATGTCTATAATAGTTGCTTTATGTGTGCTACCTCATTTAAGCCTCTCAGCACCATATGAGGTAGGAATAATGGTCATTATGTTACAGGTGAGGTATTTAGGGCTGAAAGAATTCAGGAAACATTTTGGGAACTGTTCCCTAGTTGAAGTCCTTCCATGATGACTACCTATATTTAGGACTACTTAGTTGTCTTTCCTTTGGAAATCTTATCCAAGTTCATTTCTACAGCGGTCACCTCTAAGAGAATACTGTGCTTTCCAAGTCGTGGTGAGCACATGCCATGTCTGTTCTCTCTATGTCTTTCAAGTACATGCTATTTTAGGTGAGGTGTTAAAAACTGGGTATATATAGAGCGGAAGGTAGGACCCATTCTCCTGGTACCATTTTCCTGGTGAGAACTAAGTGGGGTTTGGAAAAATGATACCTGAGAATTCTTACAGATGACTAGAAGTTAAGCAAGAGTGAAGTAGGATATCTGCCTTTGAAGGATCATTTGGAGGCAGAGACCCTCTGTTGGTGAGCTGCCTGGTGATTGGCTTGGTGACCGGAGCTGAGGGTGTAGGGGTCCAGGCTTCTTATTGAACACTTTCACATACTCAGAGCCTCATTTTAACTGTCTATTATGTATCACCATCTGAATGACTTGCTGACCTTGAAAATCACATATACCAAGCCAAATTATCTGTTGTTTAAATTTGCATATTCCCCATGGCTCCTGCACCTGTTAATGATAGCAGAACTTCACTGTTTGTGACTTTACTGTCTCTTTTGTTTAGATTTTTTGAAAATATATTTTGTAATTGGCATCAATTAGTTGTGCAAGATTTCATTTATGCATACAATGTACCTTGATCAGATTCACCCTCTGTCATACTCTCTCATTCCCTTTCCTTATCCCAAACCGATCTCATCAAGCTTCATTGCTCCATTTTCACACAAAATGTTTAGATTTTGAATTGGCTTCGTAACTAGTAGCTCCGCCTCCACTTTCATGTTCTTTTTATTTTCTTTAGGCACAGCTCTGCTTATTCATTATAGCAAATAATTGTAAGCTCTAGAATTGATTTCAGAAAGCACTGAGTTCAAAAAGCCTATAACTTCCTCTGACATAGCAATTACAGGTTGTTTAAGGTTCATGGTTTTAAGTAATATTAAGAGGGAAACAGCTGCAATTTTCTAATCAGCAAATATTGAGCTCTTCCCAAATACTGCTTCCTAGGCATTTAAGTTCTGTAGACCCTTTTTATTCTTTTCTTCTATCCTCTACTTCACAGTGGACCCTGTGTTTTAAAATTGGGTAGTAAACCTAGGAACAACAGTCTGTAAGGACTTTAGGTGATCAAGCATCAATAATCTCTTCCATATCACTTTTTTCCTCCTTTACTAAACTTTCTGAAGAGTACTTTTATTTTTTTTAACTGTATATCTGATTCTCAGAGCGGTGTGCAATGAGGATTAAAGGAGAAAAATATATACAACTAGAAAAAGACAAAAACAAATGGGTTCCTACTATATTACATATTGCCTGGTCCTTAGTAGCTATTAGACTATTTTTTTTACATATAGATGGGCTGATAACCTTCACTTTTTAAAACCCTATACTTTTATTAGTGGAGCCTAAAATTGGGTTTGACTATTTTGGGATTATTGCATGCCTTTTACTTATATTAAATTTGTATTTAATCCTTTAAGATTTAGGTTTTGGGCTATGAAAGAATGGAAAAACAAGACTCTCTGAGACACTTTGTATGAATGCCTTAAAAATGTCCTTTTCGGGGCTGGGAAGGTGGCTCAGTGGTAGAGCGCTTGCCTTGCATGCTCGAGGCCCTGGGTTCGATTCCTTAGCACCACATAAGCAAAGAGAAAAAAGCCGGAAGTGGCGCTGTGGCTCAAGTGGTAGAGCGCTAGCTTTGAGCTGAAGAGCTGAGGGACAGTGCCCAGGCCCAGAGTTCAGGCCCCACGACCGGACCCAAAAAAAAAAAAAAAAAGAATGTCCTTTTCTGGGCATTACATATGAGGGCAGAGGAAAGCTTGCATGGATGGTTCTGGGAACCCAGGGACAAGCATGGAGGTTCTTGGAGCTAAGGCTCTAAGAAAAAAATTGAGTATTGAAGAGTGTGTTTCTGACAGGTATAGGCCTAGATTGAGTAGCACTAAATAAAACATGGGTCCAGAATATGGCTCCATTTTCTTTTTGTTGATGAAAATCCTGCCTGTGTACAGAATGTTCACAGTTAAGTAGGAGGATAAGAGAACCAAAATTATAAAGAGTTTTCTGGTCAGGTTGGAAGTTAAGAACATGATTTCTCAAATTAGACATATGGATGGACTCTTGGTTCTTATTAGTTGGTGATCTTGGGAAAATTGTCTATTTGCCCTAGGCCTCTGCTTTCATGACCATAAAACGCTTCTTTTTTTTTGCCTGTCCTGGGCCTGGGCACTGTCCCTGAGTTTCTTTTGCCCAAGGCTAACACTCTGCTACTTGAGCCACAGCGCCACTTCTGGCTTTTTCTGTTTATGTGGTACTGAGGAATCGAACCCAGGGCTTCACGTATACAAGGCAAGCACTCTACCAGTAAGCCACCTTCCCAGCCCCATAAAATGAATTTAATAACAGTAAGTAATTCATAAGATTGCTGTGAAAATCTTAATAAATATAAAATATATGTGCTGAATGAATGCTAGTTCTTATTATTATGGTTTTGTTTGACTAAATAAACCTGTCTCAACTACCCTGTCCCCTGCCCCCTCAATTAAAAAAACAAAGAGTAGAATAGTAATACTCAAGGTAAAACATCTCCAGATACTAACAATGGAGACAGAACATGTAGTTAGATTCTGGATTCCAGAGCTGGTAGAAATAACTACACAAGGAATGGAAGCCAGATACACTGGATGAGACTAGGAGCAGGTCTGCAGTTGGATGAAAGAAGGCTGAACTCATCTGCTCCCTGCTGTTGCTTTTAAAAGCTTTGGACCTGAAGTGAGGACAGAAGTAGCCAATTTGCCAGATGGCTCAGACTCAGGAACTGTAAATTTCCTGCTATCACCTAGTACAAGAGCACCAGCCAGGCTTAGAGGTCATGGGCTGTGTAAGTAGGTGTGGCCCACCTCAAAACTACTCGTAAAAGAGGAGAGAGTCTGGGTCTATAAGAACACAAGAAGTTCCCTTACTTAGAAAAATAGGTGTTTTTTTTTTTAAGCCATAGGATATAGAATCACTCAAAATTTAATAGAAATATTAGAGAGAAGCTGGTGCTGGTGGATCATGCCTATAACCCTAGTTACTCAGAAGGTTGAGATCTGTTCAAAGGTTGAGATAAATTCAAAGCCAGCTCAGGCAGGAAAGTCTGAAAGAATTTTATCTCCAATAAACTATAAAAAAGCTGGAAGTGGAACTGTAGCTCAGGTAATAGAGCACTAGCCTTGAGCAAAAGAAGCTCAGGGTATAGCACCCTGGACTAGCACCAAAAAACCAACAAATATAAGCCCTAGAGTTTAAAATGACCATATTTTAAAAAATCCTTCAAAAAACAACTGGTCATAAAAACATGCTATTAATGACAGTCTCCATTGTGTATGCATTTTTGTATTAAAATTGAAGATGCATTTAAAAAACCCACAAAACTCCCCCCTGAAACCTAACATGGTATGAATAAAAAATAGGTATATAATAGTTACATAAAACAAAGTCAGAGTTTTTGAAGTTAAAACAATAAAACAAGATAGGCTGCTGGCTTAACTTCTAGACCAGAGGTATTTGAAGGGAAAACAAATGAACTGGATCAAAGTATTGGGCTTGGGAGTGGTAGAGCACTTATTTAATATATGTGAGGTCCTGTGTGTGATTCCCAGAAACATAAAGATGAAAGAAAAAACCGTACTAAAACTGTAGAGGATTGATATTAATGTGTGTAGAAAGAGTGAAAATTTGGTCACCAAAATTTAATAGTGATAGCTGACTGTCCCAGTGTGCCAGTGTTATCTCTGTTACTCAGATAACTGAGGCAGAAGGATTGCTTGAGCCCAGGAGTTCAGAGCCAGCCTGTAACATAGTGAGACCCTCCCACCTTGTACAAGTAATAATATTGATTATATTTAGGGGGAAAGATTGTGAATTTTTGGTACTTTTTAAATTACTGGTTTTTTTTTAACTTTGCCTCATTGAACATGTATATTATGATTCTTATTTTGAGCCTGGAGAAACTTCATGTGTCTTGAATATGTAAACAGCTAAGTGCTGAGTGGCTAGCTAAGTATCACCTTTGTAGAATGGATCTCTGGGATACCTTGTACATCTAAAACTTTATAAAGGGAATTCTTATGACATCAGGTTGTAATCTCAGAGCTCTAGAAACTGGAAGGTTGTTTTTCTTTTTTTGAAGTTTGAAATGAATTATTTGGCAATGAAATGAGCTGTATTAGTTATTTGTCTGACATGCATATACTCTGCTGTAGAAATATGGGAGTGTCAATGGCATGCTACAAATTCTGCCTGAGCATTTTGGAAAATATGTTAACACACACACATTGTCAGCCTTCCTAGAGCCTGAAACGTTCTAAATTCTAAAACATACCTGGCTTCAGATCCAAGAGAGATTGTAGCCCTTTATTAAATATTTAAATATGGTCAGTTTAGAAAGTTTGGTATTAGCAGAAACAATGATTTCTCACCAGTCAATTGTTGGATTTTTTTTTCCTTCCATTTTCTAGTCTGCACTTTGTAAAAACAAAATAGATGTTTATTTCAATGATGTTTTTTGGTGCACTTTACCATATTCATTGGATTATTTGGCATTTTTTTCTCCTTAATAGTAAGTGATTAAGGAGAAGACTGTTCTTTTTTTTTTTTTTTGGGTCCGGTCGTGGGACCTGAACTCTGGGCCTGGGCGCTGTCTCTCAGCTCTTCAGCTCAGGGTTAGCACTCTACCACTTGAGCCACAGCGCCTTTTTTCTTATGTGGTGCTGAGGAATTGAACCCAGGGCCTCATGCATACAAGGCAAGCACTCTACCACTGAGCCACCTTCCCAGCCCCAAGAAAACTGTTCTTAAGCCTCTGAACTTTGGAAGTCTACTTTACAGAAGTGATAGTAACTGATGTTTCACATAGTACTTGAGAAAATAACTTTTCTGAATACTTCCCAAAGCTGATTTTGAGTTGTTGCCCTTGTGTATATATTATTTCTGATGTTTTCTTTTTTTTTTTAAATTCTTTTGGTTTCTCTTAAAATTGGTTCATAAAGTTCTGATCTAGAAAACAACTAGCTTTCAACATGAGAACATATGAATTTCATTTGCATTTTGGCTTTGGTTGCATGCATGCCGATTTCCATATTTTTTCTAGAATGAAGATGCTATGTATAGCAATTACTATGTAAGAAATTGTTGCCTTCTCAAGCACTTCATTTTGGTAATTGGATTAATACGATCCATTCTGTCAGCACGCTATATTTAAACTGAAATTTTGCTGTTACCTGAAGGCACAGGATTACAGATATGAAGGTAATTTGTGATCTTTAGTCATTCACCAAATTAGGGAATTATCAAAAATTTTATTTGAGTGGTAAGATGACTACTTGTCTTTTAGAGGTTGAGGCTGGGCTTTATTCCATTCTTGTAGTGGCCTTTCGTGTTTCTGATTCTGTTGACTCACCTAATTGGGAAGTCCATATCTTGCTTATATTTTGTTCTGGTACTGGATTTATTTCTCAATATACTGTTTCAGTAAGAGGAAAAAAATCTCATAAGTCCAAAGGCACTTTTTCCACCCTTATCAGTTTTGAGAGAATCCTGAGCAGTCCTACTTAGATTACATACCTACCATTGAACCATTTGCTGTATCAAAGGTTACAATTTTGGCCAAGTTTGCAACATTATCACTCACTGTCCTAAGTCTGTTGTGGTGATAGTGTGTAATGTAAGTGTTTGTGTATCTGGGGGACCAGAGTATAGGCAGTGTTCATATATGTGGGGAAACCTGGTGAGATTTGAGAGAGGACTGTAATCAGCATCTCTACCTAGACCTTGTAGAATGAGGAGGCACATGGTGTCATATAATATATAATCGATAAATATATTGTGGAAATTATATTTTAAAACAGCCTTTGAGGACTTGGTGGGGGGGAGAGAAGCATGGCTAAAGTGGCCCTGAGTTCAAATCCTATTTCTGCCAATTACCTCCTCACCCCACCCAAAGTTACAACCTTCCTCCTTTCCAACTCCCTTCTCCTTCAAATAAATCAAACACAAAGTTTTGTTCCTTAAGGTCTAGGTGAGGTCTTTCATCTTGATAAAATTCTTACTCATCCTGGAAATGGCTTCTGTGCTGTTTGCAGTCTCTACTTCACGTTGCAGTATGCAGTGTACTGCAGTATATACTGTTAGGTTTTTTAGAAAGAGGTTGCCGAGTAAGAACTGCACCAGCATGCACGTGGTATTCAGGTAAGGGGTAGGTTTATTCAGTAGACCTGCTG